AATGGAAAAAATATCCTCCAGCGAGGATTAAATATATATTTATTGTTTCCCCTGGACCTTAGTTTCTTGGGGGTAATGAAACCAAATTAATCTACTTAAGAAGAGGCTGAAATGAGTTTCAACACATGAATGCACTTAGTGAATCTTATTGTCTAAAAGGGTAATCTGGAGCCATTGTCAACTTTTTTAAAAAATATATATTTTATTGATTTTTTACAGAGAGGAAGGCAGAGGAATAGAGAGTTAGAAACATCAATGAGAGAGAAACATCGATCAGCTGCCTCCTGCACACCCCCTACTGGGGATGTGCCTGCAACCGAGGTACATGCCCCTGATCGGAATCGAACCGGGGACCCTTCAGTCCGCAGGCCGATGCTCTATCCACTGAGCCAAACCGGTTAGGGCCCATTGTAAACTTTTAAGGAGTATGGAGTACTGTGACCCCAAAAATGGCTAGAGCTGTGTCTGATTCAGTTAAGCTGAGGAAGTCACTGATCGGTGAAGGATATGGGATGTCAGGTGACCGAGGCATGACCAACAGGAGACATGGCAGAAGGAGATTGTGTAGGTGCCTCAGGGCTTGAGGCAGACAAATTATGGGAGCAAATGTGAGACTGAGTAATGGAAGCATGGGGACCAAGAGTCAAATTGGGGTTGATGGTCAGAGGGCAATGAGTGATGCGAAGATTATGCCTCTTCATTTTTCCACACTTGAGGTCAATTTCCATTTATATTAGGCGCCCACTTATCCCCTGTGTGATCCAAAAGTCCCATTTTAGATTGGGGTTCCTGGAAACAGACTCTGAGACAAGCTTAGCATCCAGGAGACTTGATGGGGAGTCCTCTAGGGCAGCGGTCACCAACCTTGCAAACCTCACGGACCACCAGTGGTCCACTAGTGGTTGGCAACCACTGCTCTAGGGAACAGCACCTGTAGGGCAGGAAGGAAGCAGGACTAGACAGTAGGCAAAGGTGAACGGCAAGGTCATTACAGCAGAGGTCTCGGCTGATCTTATGGGGAGCTCTGGAGTAGAAAGGGCTCATCAGAGTTGTCCCAAATTAAGGCAAAAAGGAAAATGTTTTGTTCCAGTCACTATCTGGTCACTGGATGTGAGCTGCACCCGGAGAGGATAGTCTGGAAAGGAGAGGAGCTGAGTGTCATCCGTCAGGGCTCCTTGTGCTGGAGAATGCATGCTCCAGTCCTAGCAGAGGGCGTACGGACAGCACACCTCAGCAGTCACTAACGTCTTCTCAAGCCTAATATGGGCTGGCAGCTGACTCAGTAGCTCAGAACTGCAGCCTCTGTGGTCTCTCTCATCTGTCCCTACTTTGTTCCTCTTCCCCGCCCCGCACATTATCATTTTAACAACAAAAACCTACTCACCACTCCCTGGACATACAATATGCTCTCACTACCCTGCCTTTTCACATGCTATTTCATTAATCTAGATCAGTGGTCGGCAAACTCATTAGTCAACAGAGCCAAATATCAACAGTACAACGACTGAAATTTCTTTTGAGAGCCAAATGTTTTAAACTTAAACTATATAGGTAGGTACATTGTTATTAACTTAATTAGGGTACTCCTAAGGCTTAGGAAGAGCCACACTCAAGGGGCCAAAGAGCCACATCTGGCTCGTGAGCTGCAGTTTGCTGACCACAGGTCTAGATTGTCCTGCCTCCCTTCCATTCATCAAAATCAAGCTCCTCTTGGCCTGAGGACTGAAGGGTCCTGGGTTCAATTAGGTCAAGGACATGTACCTTGGTTGCAGGCTCGGTCCCTGGCACATGTGGGAGACAACCAATCAATGTCTCTTTCTCACATTGATGTTTCTCTCTCCCCCACTCTCTCTCTCTCTCTCTCTCAAAAAAAAAAAAAAAAAGCCCTGGCTGGTTTGGCTCACTGGATCGACCCCTGCAGACTGAGGGCATTCTGGTCAAGGTCACATACCTGGGTTGTGGGCTTGATCCCCAGTGAGAGGTGTGAAGGAGGCAGCCAAGCAATGGCTGAAATCAATACAAATATATTTTAAAAAATTAAAAATAAAAAGGTCGGCAGGTGTGACTCAGTGGTTGAGCATCAACCTATGAACCAAGAAGTCAGGGTTCAATTCCCAGTTGATTCCCGGTTGGGGCACATGCCCGGGTTGCAGGATCATTCCCCAGTGTGGGCCGTGCAGGAGGCAGCCAAAATGTTTCTGCTGACCAATGATGTTCCTTTCTTATTCAAGTTTCTATTCTCTAACCTTTCCCTCTCCCTTCCTCTCTAAAATCAATTTAAAAAAATATTTTTAATCAAGCTCCTCTAACAAGGCCTACTTCAAAAGATAATTGTATTATAAAAAGTTGAAACTGAATCAATTTCTCCTTCCTCTGGGTCGCAAAGCACGTTCCCAATTCTTTATCATATCTGTCCGGGTTGCGTAAGAGTGGACCTTGTGTTTGTGGTTTCCCTTATTAGACTGTAAATTCAGTGAGTGGAGAGCTTCCTCCTTTATCCTACTGTTCTCTCCATAGCCTTGCATTCTGCTTGGCACAAAACAGGCACTCAACACATCCGAATTAATTACATCAAATGTTCCAAATTGCTATGAGAGGTTCTTAGGAAAAATCGCCTTAAAGGTCTGAAGACCCTTTGGCATCACCCTGTATTTCTCTTCTCATGGGAAACACATTGTTTTTTCTTTTTTTAGGGATTATTTTATTGTGTACATTTTTTGGGGAAACAGATGTTATTTATTTTTTATTTTTTTAAATATATTTTTATTGATTTTTTACAGAGAGGAAGGGAGAGGGATAGAGAGTTAGAAACACCGATGAGAGAGAAACATCGATCAGCTGCCTCCTGCACACCTCCTACTGGATGTGCAC